TCTATAGTACGTATGAAAATAATATATATATATAAATTAAGTTCGATTGAAAATTCGAAATATAGTTATAAAAATACATACAAGCAAGATAATATGTTATCTTGTAAGCAAGAAAATATAGTTGTTCGATTTACTTCGGAATGAGACTTCTTATTTAAACACAGTGAAATAATGAACTATGTCCTTTGTAAATTGAACGTTTCAAGGTTTAAGTTTAAATATTACAATTAAATTGAATATTATGAATTATTTGGGATATAACTCGGTTTGCACTCATCTCGCGTGATAGCCACGTGATATAAATATAGGACATAATTATATGAACACCTTACGGAAAGTTTTAAACAACTTTACGGTCGTCCCAACCAGGCCACACAACCGCTTACTTGCTCATCGCAATGTCGGCACCAGAAGTCGAGCGAGGAGTCAGCACGTGGAGCGCGTTACCGCTTAATGGTGATTTTCGTGTGACGCGTTTGAATATAATTATGATTTAATTTTGATAAGTGTCATTTAAATATTACACACTCAAAAATCTAACTTGGTTTGTTTGTAGTATAGATATAATTTTAAGTATTTCCATTTTATATATCTACATTTTAAAATCAACTATGCATTTATCGGTAAGTTTAGATTAGAGTTTATATTAGCGGCATAATGTATTAACACAAGAAATATATCCCTCGGCTCCGCATTCTGATGAAAACGTACCTGCTGTTAACTTGATATTATTGTTTAATTTATTTTATATGAATTTGTGGACATTCAAATATTATTTCATTTACAATACTTGTGGGTCATACTGGACGGACGCTTAAGTGGCACGTAATACTCCGTTCTCTCACAGACTGATGTACTATTTTTTGCACTTTTTAACTTCCCGTAGGGCAAGTTATAGTAACCGCAAAAAAATCGAACATGAAAATTTTTATATATCTTTACGTTCCAAAGGTTTCTGAATATTTTGGCATACCTTAGAAAAAATGGATGTATGTGTGTGTGTGCGTGTATGTGTGTGCGGACACAAATTTTCGTCGACGATTTCGGGAACATCGATTAACCGATTTGAATAATTCAAAAAACAATCGATTCGTATTCATAAGGAGACGTGCTGATTAGTTTTCGGCGGAGGCAGGGCAAGCCGTTCTGAAGATACAGGGCAAAAAGTGCCAAAAACGGTAATTCAATTTTTAACAGAACGGAGCGTCCGATTTTAATAATTCAAAAAACATTTTACTTGTATTGACAGAATGAAAAACTGATTGAAGTATTGGGAAGGCAGGTCCAGAGGTTATGGATTCTCAATAAAAATAAGTTAAAAATGTCATTTGGGGGTCAAAAATGTTTATTGGACAGTACATCAAATTATTAGATATTTGATAAGGATTTCAATAATGTGTACACATTTTGTGTAATTTTTTTTGGCTTCCGTGCCAAGATTTTTGATTACGGTACGGGAAGTTCCAGCAATTTGCCTTAAGGCACAATGCCATTCCCCCACTAGTTGTGTAATTTGTTTTATATGAATTTGTAGCCATTCAATTCCCAATATTATTTCATTTACAATACTTGTGATTCATATTGGACGCTTCATTGATACTAGTCCGTTCCCCCACAGGCTGAAATACTAGTTAGTTTCTATATTTCGCACTTCTTGCCATGTTTCTTCGGAAAGGCTGGACCTGCCTTTGACAAAAGCTAATCGGCATGTACCCAGATTAATGGGAATCGAATGTTTATTGAATTACTCAAATCGGTTGATACGTGTTCACGAAATCCTTGACGAATATTTGTATCCGCACACACATATATCAATTTTTTCTAAGGTATGCCAAAATGCCCAGAAACTCCTGAAACGTAAAAATATGCAAAAATGCTCATAATTGATTTTTTAGCTACTACTATAACTAATCCTATGGGAAGCTAAAAAACCTTTTAATTGTATTGACAAAATAAAAAACTGATTAATTTTTTTTAAAATGCGGTTTCGAAAAACTATCGGATAAAGTTAGTGGTGTCTGTCATCGTGCTTTTAGGCAAATTGCTAGAACTTCTCTTACCATAATGAAATGTTCGAAAAATATTAAATGTTTGCACGTATATTATTATAAATACTGTAACTTTCATTTTTCGTATTTTATAGATAAAATAAAGCTTATAAATTGAACGATGATGTCTATATAAGTTTACATTAAAAGTAAATAAACAAAAGTTAATCAAGCGGTGTTAGAATGAAGAACCCTATCTCATATTTCTAAGAATTATATAAACTGAATTATGTTAAAATTATTTATTTCAGGTATAAAAGTAAGCTTTAGAATTAAAATTAAAGTCCGAATAATTTTCGATATACAGAAATTTTTTTTTTGGAAATAAAAAAAAAGAAACATTTTTTTGCTTTCCCCAAAAACCATCATTTCGTCAATACCACCAATATTTTTTTTTTTGAATCATTCAATTTGGACACCTCGTTCTCTCAAAAGATTGCTTCATATCTCCGAAACAGCTGGAATCACTTCATTCAATAAAAATCGATTGCTTTTTGAACAATTCAAATAGGTTGTTTCGTACGCCCAAAAGCGTCTTCAAAAATTGTACCCACTGTTGAGAACTATTATGTATTTATTATAATATTTTATTATGACATCGTCATTAAGATAGGATTGTTTTGTAAGTTCGTACCAAATCCAGCTTTTATATAAAACTTTTATAAATCGGCCCTTATTCGTACAATAAGGGTCGAATCAGGTAAAACTGATTATTATTGAGGGTTAGTTACGAATTACGATTGAACCGCCAACAAAAACAGACTAAAATATTAATACTCAATCATGTAAGTTATAATTTAAAATAAAACCAATAAATTTTTAAAAGTGTTTGTTTTTACATATCAAGATGAGAATCAATGATTAATACCTCGTTTTTTAATAATCAATACATTCATTTTTTGTAAGGAATGTAAAATCATTCACAAACCTCTGAAACGTAAAGATATGCAAACATTTTCATTTCCGATTTTTGGACGATTACAATAACTTATCCTACGGGAAGTTAAAAAAAATCTATCAAGCGGTCAAAAATGATTGTTAAACATATGCACATCAATTTATCAGAGATTTTAATAATAAGTACTAATTTTGTTAACATTTATATGGATTATGTACCAATGTTTAACCGTTAGACCACTAATTTCTATCTAATTATTCAAAAAAGATCTAATTTTTCAAAAAAAAAAATAATAAAGATCAAAACTAGTGGGGCGCATTGGCATCGTGTCTTAAGGCAAATTGCTGAAACTTCCCGTACCAAAAATTATTATTTTTTTAAAAACGATTAACATTTTTGAAAAAAAATTACTTCAAAAAAATTAGATTTTTGAAAAACTATAAATTCGACAAAAAATTCCTTTTCTTGAAAAAAAAAAAAATTTTTTGAAAACAAACAATTTTTTTGAAAAAAAATGTTCTTCATTTTGACATATTTTGGAAATTCTGAACTTTTCTTCAAAGCAATCGTACTGCTTGAATTGCATATAGATGAAATATCGAAGCGCGTAAGCGCCGCGCCGCCGTCTAACGGATAAACATGGGTACGGAACCCATAGGAATGTAAACAAAATTTATATTCATTGTTAAAATCTGTATAAAATATCTGATAATTTGATGTGCATTATGTCTAATAATCATTTTTGTCCGCCAAATGGCATTTTTTTACTTTTTTCATTAGATCTCCGAAACCGCTAGACCTGCCTTCATAAAAATTTGATCAATTCTTCATCTTGTCAATACAAGTAAAATGTTTTTTGAATTATTAAAATCGGACGCTCCGTTCTCTTAAAAACGAGTTACCATTTTTAGCACTTTTTGCCCCGTATCTTCAGAACGGCTAGACCTGCCTTCGCCAAAAACTAAACAGCACATCTCCTTATCAATACGAAACGAATGTTTTTTGAATTATTTAAATCGGTTGATCGGTGTTTCCGAAAACGTCGACGAAAATTTGTATCCGTACATACATACACACACGCACACACACACACACACATACACACACATACATCCATTTTTCTAAGGTATGCCAAAATATTCAGAAACCTTTGAAACGTAAAGATATATAAAAAATTTCATTTTCGATTTTTTTGCGATCACTATAACTTGCCCTACGGGAAGTTAAAAAAACTAATTTTTCAAAAAAAAAATATCCAAAGATTTCAAAAAATGTTGAAGTTTTTAAAAATTTTAAATTACGGTACGGAAAATTCCAGCAATTTGCCTTAAAGCACGATTTAATGCACCACTGGTTTTCAATTATTTGTGTTACTATAACTTACCCTGCGGAAAGTTAATATTTTTTTGAGAAAATGAAGCTTTCATTTTTTATTTATTTATTTATTTGATATAATTCATACATACTGTATCTCAGTAAGACAATTGTTCTGGTATGAGAGATCACAGCATTTATAACAAAAATAAAATCTAACGTTCTAAATAAAATCTAATTCATGAAAATTAAAATCCCAAATGATATTTGCTATACAAAAAATCTTAAAATATATAAATTTATATGTGTGTGAGTACATGCACATACATTCACATACCATTTTATATTTAACAGTTTCAGAAACCCAGCGCCGCTCGGGTCTACTTCCATGTGCAGTCCGGCATTACGCGACACCCAGTGCCGGTGAAACTTTCGCGGAGAGCGGACGCATGCGCTGGCAATACGCGTTCCAACACGTGATCGTTTCTAACAACGTTCGTGCGGACTCGGAACGATCCGCTCGCGATTTCCGTGGAAAAACTTTCGTCATGTATTCTTAAAATAATCCGCACGTTGCTCGTCAACAGCGAACACCGAGTCTCGGCCGCGGCACTCTACAATCATTAATGATACGCACGCACGCCACGTAACTGAGCGCAGATATCGCAAAAATACATAACAGGAGTAATAGTATAGTAATAGTATATTCATTTGAATAGATTTGAGATTGAGACAAATACCGCGCGATCTGCAAGTCATTGTGACCAACCTTTGACGTTTAGCGAATTCATCGTGTATGTGTTTTGGAATACTATTATTGTGTGTGTTTGTGAATTTCGTGTTTTATTACCGTGTGAAGTTGTATTCAGGTGCTCTAACACTAAGTGATTTTCAACAAAGATTTTTTAAGAAATAAATTTTAATCAAAATCGAATCTGCTACAATAATCCGGCTGAACCAGTAGATGACCTTGACAACGAGTTTGATTCGTAGCGATTAACGAACGCTGCCGGACCTTCACGACTAATACTCACGGATTTATTTTGATTAAATGAGATTCTGTTATAAGGTAAATCTATCAAATATTGCTTTGTTTTGATAATTTGTGTTGTGTTTATCTGATACATATAATAATAATAATAATAATAATAATAATAAACATATAATCCACTCATGTTGTTTCGTAAATAAAAGTTTGTGATTCAACAAGTGCTCGTATTACAGTGAGGAGAAAATAGACAACAAAGCATAGGATTCAAACAATATGAATATGAAAATTGTAAACATACCTTTAAGGCATGCCGTTCATGTTTCTAAAGCTCGTAACTGAGAAGAGGTTTTTTTTATAAGTCCTCTGTTATGACAAATTAAACCATAATATTATTTATTATTAACCCGATTGCAAAAATACACTTTTAAAAAATCAGTGATCGCATATTAATTTATGTTACTATTACGCATTAATAAACCTCAACAGTAACAACTAATAATTTCTACCGTTTATACTTTATATTACTGTACAGTTTTAACTAAGGTTTCTATAAATATTAATTAAATTTTATAAAGTAGTTTCAAATATTATAATTTTATCTAGTTGAAACTGCCATGTGTGATTATTTCCTGGAGTCCAAACATGTTATACGTATAATTGTTATTATGTCTCAATATTAATCGGATTGTGTTTGTGTATTTTCGTCTGTACGAAAAAAACGATAATTTGAAGAGGTGTTCCAGTCTAAAATTAAGAAAAGAAATTTTTTTTATATCTTCATAGTTTAATTCTTCACTCGGCTACGACTGCTCTACAAAAATCTGTGAAACCTTTTGGTATTACTGTGCTGCTTTAGAAAAGTAACTAAAAAATGTGTACAAGAGGATTTTTTAAAATTTGAATTATTTTCGGAGACTTAACTATGTATTTGAGCACGATATTGCTACTCTGTTTCCTTTTTTATTTTTATTGGCCTCACCTATTTATAGTTAGAGCATTTAGCCACCTACAATATTTCATTTTTATATAATATACTATATTCATGAATTCTGCATTATCTTGTATATATATATTTTAAACTATCTTTTATTAATATACTATTCAACTCCTTTTTTTTTCTCTTCACTACTGCTGTTTATTTTTTTACTCTTCAATGTTGTTTTATCTTCTAATTCTGTTCTTGAATTTTAATCTTGATTTCGTTCTTTCTTCTAATTTTTTATTTAATTTTTATTCAACAAAACAAATTGTATTTAATTTTAAATTAAAATATTTTTTAAATTCTGAGTCAATATCAAGATTCGATACAAAAGATTCCCGGCATGAGAGTCGGACACGCTATTGAGTGAGCTATGCCCGCCACTTTGTACTCGTAACTTTGAACGAATTTTTCTCGGAACTGTCTTTTTAGATATTTACAATTTCTCAATTTCTACTGTACAGTATTACTTGAAATATTTACAATCTTCTTCGAAGACTTTTCTTCAGTATGTACTACGTTCATCCCAAAAGTACTAATTTTACTATTTTGAAAAAAATCCAGAGTAGGAAAAAAAAGGTATAAGAATATTTTTTGAGAACAAAAATCAATTTGTCCGTAGTTCATACGGTTAAGGACATTATTCTACTTTAACAATTTATATATTTATATATAATTTTTGTTCAAATTATTTGGAGGGCTAAAATCATGGGCATGGGTCAGGTGCCAATTTTTTGAGACCCTCCACTCCATTACCTTCTAGAATTAATTTTAATTAATTCATAATTATTCCTGTTAATATTAATTTTTTTATATTCTCAAAACATTATTTAATAACTTTTTTTAAAAAAAAGTGAAAATATAGTTTTTCTTTTTTCACGGCCTTCCAAAAATCGCTTACAATTCATGTCTCTGGACCAGAATACCCCCAAAGAAAACTTGGCTAAATGCTCTATTTTATTTAAATATTACGATCGATTTAAAGACATAGGTAAAGTTATGACCATAATACTTCTTAAATCTTACAATTAGTGAAAATATTCCACATTCAAAAAATCTTTTTGACCCGGCAATTTACATATGAAAAATTACAAGTATGTATGTTAAGATTTGATCTATGATTCTTTTACTTGTATAAGGTCGCTTTTTGTCGTACTTATATGAAAAGCCTTCAATTATGACATCAAGTGATTAATATCTAATATTCATTGCTAAACTATAATTATATCAAAATTAATAATCCATGAATTATATAAAAAATAAGAAACCTTATGTACTTTTTACAATTTTTGTTCGGAATTATTTAAAATGATTTTTTTCGTATCATATAATTTAATTCATAGCTTATAGTTTATGGTTTGAAAATTACAAATATCCAAAAATAAACTGCTCAATGAAGTAATTATATGAATCAGTCATGAACATGCATACATAATTTAGTAATTCTTAGTAAAGCATCTCGATTAGGGTTTATACAAAAACCGACATTTCTGAAAACCGGTTTTCGAATTTTAATTTTACTAAAAACCGGTTTTAACCGGTTTTCGAATTTTATATAGAAAATAAATTTTTGCTTGAAAATTCTGTAATTTATCCGCGATTTTAGTGCAATTTAGAGCATTATTTGACTGAATTTATTTGTTTTTCAACTTTATAGATACAAAAAAAAATATTTTAATTTTAATTAGTAGAACTAAAAAATAATAGTTTATCTGGATTAAGTAACTTTGAAAATAGTTATTCGTTATTCATGCATCATTTTCACATATAGGAATAAAAATATTTTTATAATAGTGAAAGGAAAGTTTTCGAAAAAATTAAAATAATAACATTTTTAAATAAAAAAAATTCATTAAATTAAAAAAAAAATAGATACATGTTGATACATACTTGATAATATTAATTTTAGTTTTAAAAACAATTAAGCTAAACTCGGGTATTGTCTGTTTCGAGCAATTTTAATTAATTAATTCTAAACATTTTAATTGTTTTTCTGTTTGATAAAATATAATTTAAAAAAACTTAGAACGTCTATCGAATTGCTACTTAGATGTGTCCTTTGTTTACTCTCAATATTTCCTGAAATAGAAAATACTCTCATACTTGCGACCAAATTATGCTTTATTGTTTTTAAAGACTGATATGATAATTCTAAGTTTTTTGTTCTTTAATTTGTAGCTTCTAGGGTTTAAAACTCTTTTTTTTAAGTTTGAGTAGAGGAAGTTACTTCTTCAAGAAAAAGTCGCACTGATTTAAATTAATATGTACACTGGTATAAAAATCTAAATTAATATATACAAAACCTTTCTGGGAACCATTGCAGACTGATAAGATATCAAATGCTATTGAACCGATATGATTTTAAGAATCAAAACGCTTTCATCTATCTTTTATATTTGGCTATATTTTGTCATTTTCCATTTATACAGTGAAAACCGACTTTTTTCACTAAAAAACCGGTTTTCGAATTCCATAATTTTCGCCAAAAAACCGGTTTTTAAAACCGGTTTTTGAAAACCGACAAACCCTAATCTCGATTTTATAACATTGCATATTAATATATGAAATGTTTAATAGTTTTATATATTTATGCGCATCATTATACCAAATTTCATTCAGCCATTTAAAAAATGTTATAAAAATTACCCTTATTAATTATTGCTCATTGATTTAGGGAAATAATAATTTGAGAATATTCTATATTACACCTTTAAAAATGAATTTATTAAACAGTGTATCATCTTTCATTTCTAGGGCGGTTGGGGCTAGTTGTAACTTGGACAATTAGTAACAGTAACGACAATAATACTACTGATTATTTATTCTTTACTCATTTTTAATGATATTTTTATAATTTTATTTTGTTATTATTCTGTTTATTATTTACATTTATATTTTTTTATTTAGGTTTAAGTTTTTTTTGTTTTTTATATACTCAACAATTTTGTATTATAAAACTTGAATAAAGTTTTGATTGACAAAAAAAAAAGTTAATGAAATTTACTTGTTTGTTTCTAAGTAATTTTTTTCAAGCATCAACATAAACTATAATTTAAATGAAAGATATAGTCCCTCCTGTAATAAAAATTTTTATGTGCCCACATCTTACAAATTATAAATACCACCCAATTTTTTTCACTTTCAAATTGTATAAGCTTCATTACATATTAGACAGTACAATTCGTGCACGTTACAACTTGCCCCAATGTTATGTTACAACTAATCTCAGATGTGATTTTTTGCACTTATCAAGAAAACTATTTAAACAATTTAGGAATCACAAAAATTGTTACACATTATCAAAATTTGATAAATCTACAAAATTAGTCGATGATAATAACGCAATCCGAATTTTTATTAAAAAATTAATTTTATATTACATGTCACTTCTGTTTACTGAGTCGACTTAAGCTAAGACAACATTATGCAAGATACCTCCAATCGAGACAAAAAAGATTTTAAGATCGTATTGCAAAACGTCTATTACTGTTACTATTTATTATCGCCGTTATTAGTTATAGATTTAGGAAAAAAATTAGTATTGTAATACATGTAAAAGTGAATCTAATGAAAAATATGACTTGTTTGATTAGTTATTCCTCAAACTTGTTTGTATACATATAGAGAGCGTGGGTATGACATGCAAAATAACAAGTAATTTAAATGCTACACTTGACGTTATTTATCAATATTTTTATAAATGTGATAAAATTGCTATCTATATGAAGGTTATAATGTTCAGTTCTGGTTTTCAAGAAAACGATATGTTCAGTTACGAAATATATACCGGAATATATAAATATATATATATATATATATATATATATATATGTATAGATGTATAGTATCACTATCATTTACATTGTTCTATAATGCATATTTATAAAATTTGGTAGAAGTATATATGACGTAAGTTCCGTATAATAATTCGAATTAACCTAATAAGCAATGTTTTCTAAAAATAAATATATTTAGTAACAAATTACTTAAAATTTCGTAACTATTTCTGAATATTCATATCCAATAAGCAAACTTTCACTAATTAAAGAAAGTATAATGACTCATAGCGTCTAAACAGTGTCAAATATGGCCTTCAAACGCTTATTGTCAATCAATTCTGTTTAGAAAAGTGGCTTGTTTGAAGTTGAAAACAGCTTTTTTCTAGAATGACCTGCTCTTGTCCTTCTTTATATGTATAAATTTTCTGGATCAGCTTAATACATAATTTAAAAACATGCAATATTATAAAAATTACCAAAAATTTGCAAACATTAACATAAATCAATCCATTTTTTTAAATTATTTGCGAACTCTAATAATCACATTATTATGTATCCAAATACAATTAATACATATAATTATGAAATATGTTTTAAAATGAGATATATTAGAACGTAAACACAATAACGATGTGCATTGTGTATTGTTATACACTTATATTTTACATTTGGACTCCATAAATTCTTCATACTTGGCATTTTTAACAGTTTTAATATATTTTTATATTTTGCAATATTTCCTGCATTTAGATAATTCAACAGGATATACATACTTTTTTAGCTTTGATATAAAGCAATACATAAAACTCTACTTGTGATTACTTTACTAGGTAATTTTTATTTTCTTACAAAGCCTTTGAAGTAAACTGTAAAATATCGTTTAGGGTCCGCCAAATATTTTTTTTGAAAATCCTTTAAAAAAACTACTGAATATTTTTTTAAATTTCTTTTTTCATTCGAAATTATTTCTTTTATTCATCCAGTTAATAATGGACTAACCTTTTATGAAAACACTATAAAAAAAACTTTTTTATTTGAAAGTACAATACTTCTGGTTACTAATGGAAAATAATTTCATTTAAATGGCTACCTAGCTCTTAAATGGCTGCGAAAAAATTGCAAATGGCCTCCAAAAAAGTTAAATGGCGGACCCTTTAATATCGTAAATGTCTATGTCTTTCATAATCACCGGTTATGCCGTAGTTTTCACAAAAATCAGCATTAAAATAGGGATTATTTTACATATTTAGCAATTTTTTCATATTTGATATTATACCATAAAGTAAAATTGCTACATGAAAATTGATTTGCAACACTTGATTATCTATGCGATCTTTACAATTACACGATCAATGTATTTTAGACTTTTTATTTCCACAAAATTTATTGGAATATATTTATATAGAATATTTGTTAAATGGACTATAGTCCTTGGTTTTTCACTCATTTCAACATGCACATTTTTCACTCAATTCAATCTCGCGAAAAACCAAAGACTGTAGTCATATGGACTATAGTGTGTAAATAAAAGAGTTTATTAAAATAAATGTGATGTTTAAATCAAAGTGTGATCAACCAAGTATTTTTTTGCTTTCGTACGATTATGTGAAAATGTATTTAAAATCGATACCTTTAATCATGATGTACACATTCCAAAATTAAGGCCATCTATTTATGTTGAAAATTATCTTCTTGGTATATCTCTAACATATGTAATGCTAGAAAAAATCTTTTATTGACGATTAACTGTATTTATAAGCGTCTATTATTTAATTCAGTTAAAAACCTTTAGCAACATGACTTACATTACACAGTAACATTGATATAAAAAATTCATTAAGAAATTAAAAAAGCTTATGTTAATTAATTTAACAATTAGTGATTAGTATATTGTGTGCCCTATCTATCTCTATAATTTAATATCAGTGTTTTCTGAGTGAATTCTTCTTTGATTTGCGAAGGTGTTCGTCTAGAAATCAGATGCAGATGTTGTAAACCTTTGTTTGCGGTGGCAGAGAGACTCGTGTTCGATAAGCAATATGGATTTAGGTTTAATAGGTGTGTATCTGCATCTTTGTGGTTGTTTGTTTTAGATCATGATTTGTTGCATGATTGTATTTTTTTAGTTACACTATTTATCGTTTTATAATAATTTTTGGCCTAAAATTATATGTAGTTCAATACTAGAAGTTTTTTATTTTGGTTTTGTAATGACGATATTCGCACAATAAAAGTTTGTTTAATTGATAATATTTTTTAATAACAGTAAGCTGAGTTTATTATTTCTATTGAGTATTTAAGACTTTAATAATAAACTAATTCGCTCAAATTTAATTTTGAATTTATAATAATTTTTATTCTAACTTATTTGTTATTCACAAATTAAACGCATCATCTTTATAAAAATCGTCTGAAAAGTCGTATAAAAATTATTGCAATCTTTATCAGAACTATTACTTGCAAAATATTAAATGCAAAAATGCGGCTTCTAAATATAGATTTGTATGCAAAAATCAATTTATACGGAGCTAGAAAAGTGACTAGAATATAAATTGAAAATGAAAGAAACAAATCATCAAATTTTATTACCATAATTAAAATATATAATGTTCTGTAGAAGAACTAATTATGAGTGTAATACTAATTAATTAAAAAATGTACTTTAGAAATATTTTATATGAAATAGCGGATAAATACTTTTCGATTAATGGTTTAATTTAATTAAAATAAATTCGAGTAAAATTATAACTAACCACTGCTCATTGTGAGCTCTTAAGAGATACTAGATATTGTTAATAATATAAATAAATATTTAATTAATAAATAAAAAATGAAATAATGAAAAAAATGATTGCATGACCGTTTTTCAGATATAGCTAATATAAAGTATAGTGACAAATGACAATAAATTGTGAACGTGAATGCGTACTTTATTTATATTTCGTCTGTTTTATCTATTTTACAGTAGCTCATGATTCATATAATCTTTTATTTATTTTTTGGTAATATTTTCATTATACAATATATAATTTTTTAATTATTGTAATATTTAGAACGTTTTACCACTTTTGTGACAAATTTGATTGTCAAATGTCATTGGCTTAATATCTTGTTTGATGTATTGGTTTGAAGATTTATGTTTGCATGTGTTTTACTAATTATTAAGTGAATTATTCAGGTATTTAGATTTTCTTTTGAAAAATGATGCAAAATGATTTATAGAGATAGTTATTAACTTCCCGTAAGGTAAGTTATAGTAATCGCAAAAAAATCGAAAATGAAAATTTTTATATATCTTTACGTTTCAGAGGTTTCTTAACATTTTGGCATACCTTAGAAAAAATGGATGTATGTGTGTGTGAGTGTGTGTGTGTGTGTGTGTGTGTGTGTATGTATGTATGTATGTACGTGTGTGTATGTATGTGCGGATACAAATTTTCGTCGACGATTTCGGGAACACGGATCAACCGATTTGAATAATTCAAAAAACATTCGATTTGTATTGATAAGGAGACGTGCTGATTAGTTTTTGGCGAAGGCAGGTCCAGCCGTTCCAAAGATACGGGGCAAAAAGTGCCGAAAACGGTAACTCAGTTTTTAAGAGAACGGAGCGTCCGATTTTAATAATTCAAAAAACATTTGACTTGTATTGACAAGATGAAGAATTGATCAAATTTTCATGAGGGCAGGTCTAGCGGTTTCGGAGATCTAACGAAAAAAGTAAAAAAAAATGCCATTTGGCGGTCAAAAATGATCATTAGACATATGCACATCAAATCATCAGATATTTTATAGATATTTTAACAATAAGTATAAATTTTGTTTGCATTCCTATGGGTTCCGTACCAATATTTATTCGTTAGACGGCGACGCGCCGCTTACGCGCTTTGACATTTTGTCTCTATGCAGTTAAAGCAGTACGATTGCTTTGAAAAAAGATCTTCCAAAATATGCCAAAATAAAGAAGAAAACATTATTTTTTCCAAAAAAAATTTAAAAAAAAAAAAAAAAGATTTTTTTTTGAAAAAAATTTTTTTTCAAAAAAAGGTAATTTTTTGTTTAATTTATAGTTTCTCAAAAATCTTATTTTTTCGAAGTAAATTTGTTTTAAAAATGTCAATCGTTTTTAAAAAAATAATAATTTTTGGAACGGGAAGTTCCAGCAATTTGCCTTAAGGCACGATGCCTTAATTGCCTTAAGACAGAATTCCACTTACAGCTAGTTAACTTCCCGTAGGGTAAGTTATAGTAATCGCAAAAAAATCGAAAATGAAAATTTTTATATATCTTTACGTTTCAGAGGTTTCTGAACATTTTGGCATACCTTAGAAAAAATGGATGTATGTGTGTGTGTGTGTGTGTGTGTGTGTATGTATGTGTGTGTGTATGTATGTATGTATGTACGTGTGTGTATGTATGTGCGGATACAAATTTTCGTCGACGATTTCGGGAACACGGGTCAACCGATTTGAATAATTCAAAAAACATTCGATTCGTATTGATAAGGAGACGTGCTGATTAGTTTTTGGCGAAGGCAGGTCTAGCCGTTCCGAAGATACGGGGCAAAAAGTGCCGAAAACGGTAACTCAGTTTTTGAGAGAACGGAGCGTCCGATTTGAATAATTCAAAAAACATTTCACTTGTATTGACAAGATGAAGAATCGATAAAATTTTCATAAAGGTAGGTCTAGCGGTTTCGGAGATATGGAGGAAAAAGTAAAAAAATGAGCCATTTGGCGGTCAAAAATGATCATTAGACATATGCACATCAAATTATCAGATATTTTATAGAGATTTTAACAATAAGTATGAATTTGGTTTACAGTCCTATGGGTTCCGTACCAATGCTTATGCGTTAGACAGCGACGCGGCGCTTACGCGCTTTATATTTTGTCCCTATGCAGTTAAAGCAGTACGATTGATTTGAAAAGAAAGTTCAGATCTTCCACAATATGTCAAAATAAAAAAAAATTTTTTTCAAAAAAAAAAAAAACAAAAAAAAATTTTAAAAAAATTTTTTAAAAAAAAAATTTTTTTTTCAAAAAATAGTAATTTTTTGTCCAATTTATAGTTTCTCAAAATCTTATTTTTCCAAGTAATTTTTTTTTTCAAAAATGTTAATCGTTTTTAAAAAATAATAATTTTTGGTACGGGAAGTTCCAGCAATTTGCCTCAAGGCACGATGCCTTAATTGCCTTAAGACAGAATTCCACTTACAGCTAGTTTCGTATATATTATTGTATTATGAACATTAACAATAGTTAATTTTTATGTTGAAATATATGTATTAAGAAGTATAACAAATGAAGTTTTTGAAGAATGTATATATATATATATATATATATATATATATATATATAGGGCTGCTAGTTACTTTGAAATATATATTATATATATATTTAAATAGACAAAATACTAGTTTATAATACCCACTATACGTGGTACCTACTAGGCTCAGCCACATTGCATTTAACATTAGTGATGTTAGTTCTTAAGTGATTTTTTCTGACAAATTCAAAAACTTGTGATCTGGTCGCTAAGAAGAATGCAAATAATAATTATAAATGAAAAAATATGGGTGCCCGCCCAAGGGCAGCATCGTGAGCTGAGTAGAACTCCGACTCGTTCAACAGTTAAAGTAGACAATATATGTGTGAATTGTGCTAGTAAATGCATTCAAAGATTTGACATTTTTTCATTATTTGTGAATATTTAACTATCCCGAGGAGCAGTCTACGAAAGGTCAAAAATCCGCTCAAAACACACACACAAAACCATACATACACACACACATATACGTTTTACAAAATTTTGTCTCATTCGATTCAGAATGACTTGAAATGTCGAGAAAACATAAAATTAGCAAATTGGATTTTCTCGCAGAAACAAACTTCTTTTTCGGGAAGTTAAGAGATTAAACATCACTATTTTAAATTTTAGAAGTTTTCAATGGATATCAACATTTTGGTTTTTATAAAAGTTATTTAAATAATTTACATTAAGAAATGAACTTTTACTTTTGATATCTTTAGTTATATTGAGGTTTTATTGTTGTACTAGCCGGCCCGACAGACTTCGTCCTGTCAAAAAAAATTGTAATGTGGCGGTGTTTTGTGCCTACCTTTTTTCTGTTCTTTGCAAAAAATTATCCTGAACAGAACCGTCACCCTGGTAATAATTCGGTGTGAATTAAAAATAATTAAATAAAACACTATAAGAATTTAAAAGTAAGTAATTTTAATAATGTAAATCATAATTCAAAAATCAGTTCAATTTTCATTGTAATGCTTTGTGATAAACGATGTTTTTTGTTTGATTACCTGGCGCATAGACAAACAAATCTAATGGTTTTCCAATACGGGAACAAACAACATACAATTTTCCATGTGAGAAACATGGGTTTTCTAAATTAATACCACAAACACTTAATGATACCATAAACGCACTGGAAACGCATTGGGATGCATGGTGCGAGAACATCTTCTGCTTTATACTATCCTTTGAATATAGTTGGTCGATTTTTCGCAACATTATAATTGCCGATCCAACCTTTAATTGGAGATTGTGAGGTGACGATCCTAGCAAATCCAGCGAGTTTAAAAACTCCGGTGGATCGTCTTGGTTAGTTGCCGAATCAACTGATTCGCCTGTAATTTGTTCTTGAATTTTGAAATTTAATTAATTTACATCAATGTTTTTGGCTGCCAATATAGCTTGATTAATAGAAAGATATTTCTATGTTTATATAAATATATTCAAAATTAGATTATCAAAAACTACACAAAATGTCATGACATAGATCATTGTTTTTTTTACAAATTGCGTTGCCTACTCGATTAAAGAAGAAAAGGTCTGTTTTTAGGGTTTTCCCGGCAATCATTCGTTTTTTTCTCGCCGTAACAACCATCCTTGGACTTCAACGAACATTTTAAAAAAATAATTGGCCAAATTGGTCCAGGCGTTGTTGAGTTATGCGCTTACCAACACATATTGCGATCCATTTTTATATATAAGATTGGGCAGAATAATGAATGGATTTTTAAGAACTGTAAATTATA